ACTACCAATAGAAATACATTGCTTTTAAAATCGTTCTGTGTGACACGAAAAAAAGGGGGAAATCGTGTTGGTGAACACGAGTCAATAGATTACATTACTTTCGTGACTATAACACGAAATGCCGTGAGACTGGGTTGCATATTTAATAATTCTGTTGAGTGCTGTGGTGAAGATGCTCTGCTATGAGGACCTACGAAAAAGAAAATAAAAAATATGAGCCGAACGGACTAAAGCTCATGAGGACACTTTATAATAACTCTCACTGACAGAAGACTGAGGTCCACAGTGCTGACATTTAGAAACACTAGTTAAACAGAGACTAACTCAGTTAACCTGTCAGTGTGCTGATTAGCTAGCAAACATTAGCTATTTAGCTAGCGAACGTTAGCTATTTAGCTAACGTTTGCTAGCTACATAGTTTGCTAGCATGCCATACTTTCCCATCAAACAAGCTAGCTAGCAAATGTTAGCTACCCATCTAGCTATCTCCAAACGAGTGGCTAATTTACTGACCAAACTCAGTTCAGTCAATGTGATAGTAAGCTAGCAAACGTCCGCTATCTACCTACCTAGTTAGCTAGCTTACCTTAACTATCCATCTAGCTATCACAAAATAGGTGGATCTCATCATTTAAATTTGAATTATTATTTAACAGCCTATGGTAAGACTTGCAGTGTGGACCTGTGTTCAGGCAGTGAGAGTAATTATACAAACATTGACGTGTTATACTACAAACACAACTGATTATAAAAAAGAAAAAAATACGAAATATGAAAAGTTTTCCGCCCGACAGCAACAATAAACAATTCCTTGATCATATTATCCCATTTGATAGTTTGACAGCTCTTCTTTTAGTAAACTAATGTTACACTAAAGCCACCCGTTGACTCTTCCTCGCCTCCAATCTATCCTCCGCCTGCTTGCTTCCCTCTCTGACCCCGAACACAAGGCTGGAACCATGTGAAGTTGGTCGGGTCCAACCTGGACCTGCGTAAGGTGTCGTGGAAAAGGCGAGTGGATGTCTTCCGGCTCAGCACAGACACCGAGGCCAGCTCCGACAGCGAGGCCCCCCGCCAAAACTACGCCAAAACACCGCGTCCAGGTGAAGACTCTCAGGCCGCAGACAGAGAAACAGCATGGCAGCTCTAATGCACAAGCGGCAGCCAGCGGGATCAGACATATCAACATTTGGCTGATTAATTTCGGGCTTCAGTCCCCAGAGAGGAGCTCTGGCATCAACTGCCCCACCTCCAGTTGATGATCGGGGGCAGGCTTTTCTGTCTGTCCTGAGGTGGCGATCTGGAGGCAGCTTGGTGTGTGTGTGTGTGTGTGTGTGTGTGTGTGTGAAAAGGCTAAACTGCGCGGCTGAAAGGAAATATTGGCTTCTGAATTAAATACAGTCTCGTTTCTGCAGGGCAGTTTCAGTGACGACACCTTCTCCTCGCAGCTGTTACGTGTTTTTTCTTGTTTGTATTTTATGTTCTGATGCAAAGCACCTTATGAAATATCCTTGTTAGCATTTAGCAGGTTTCCACATTGAAAAGTAAAAGCAGCAACACTTTAGATCTGTAGATGAAGACATGTGGATGTCACCGACTAGACAAAAAACGTTAAAACTACAAACAAAGAAAATGCTAAATAATGAGTGCATCTGATGTCAAATTTAAAAGGCGTTATACAGTTTGTTTTATTATTCTCATAGAAATAATGCAACTGAACCTGTTATGCACTACGAAGTTGGTCTTTGCCTTCATTTGGAGGATAAGAGCTTCAAAAAACTGATCTAGTCTAAAGGCCCTGACACACCAAGCTGACACCAAGCTGACACCAGAGGACACGTCCCGACGGACCCGACTGTTGTGTCGCCTCACGTCTCTGCTTCTTGGCCAACAGTCGCACTGGAACACACCGCAAAGACTTTAGCCGACGGCCACGTACGAACTGCGCATGCGTGAGTGGCAATAACTCTCCTTCCCAGCAGGCGGCGGTAGTGTGTATTCGTCATTCAAAAGAGGCAACAACCGGAAGACAGAGAAGAAGAACAGACTGCGTGATATAAACAAACAACAAATAGCGTGTGCGTTCCATTTTCACTCTCGTCCATCGAAAACATGTCTCGTGCGGTACTGGAGCTATCAGCCATTGGAGTGTTGCTTGTGGAAGACATTCTTTGTGCCTTCTTAAAGTGTTTGTTTACGTCCCTCACTTCCGTTTCGCTTCTCATGCACTGATTCTCTAGCTGAAGATCCAATCAGAGTGCTTTATTTGTCCTACTGCCTGTGGCCGACACACGGCCAATTCAACATGTTGAATCGGCCGTGTGTCGGCCATGNATGAAGTCATGTTTATGATCTATGAACGCCTCACTACACTAGCCTATTAAGAAAGCTTTCCATAAAATGGCCTGATCTTTGATAAATACAATTATGTTGTATTGTTTGGGTTCGTTAAGATATTCAGAAGGTTAATTAGTTAAAGGCTTTCACTTACTATCATAAAATTCACATATATTTCTATTTACAATGTTAGGCCGTACTTTACCCAAAACGCCGCACGCAAGCAAGGACCCCTCGATACCATTGATTCCTTGACTAAAAGAGAAGATTAATTAATTGAACAATATGATATTCAACCAACAATGGGCGGTTCTAAAGGATTTTCAGTTGAAGCACTCCGATGGAGGGGATCGCTGTGCCCTGATCACATTTCATCAGTAAGAAGCGTCGTTTAAAAGTGACGTCGTTGACGCGTGGTGAACGGGACGTCCAATTATATACCCCGGGACTCCTCTGATCCGTCCGTCTCCTCCTCGCTGTCTCTCACTCGCATCTCTCACGAGGCTGAGTAAGACGCAGCAAGCGGAGGAAAGGAGTGGAGGGGACAAATGAGAGTCGAAGACGAGCGGTAGTTGGGACTGAGGGAGGTTCTTCCTGCCGATTAAAGTGGCTGCCTTATGGGAAAGAGTTCGCTCCAGCCTATGCGAACATTTTATGCAGAGGTGGGGCTCTGCCCCTGTCCTCGCTTGCGCTTAAGACTCCCACATATGTTATTTCAGTATCTGGATGACATCTGGGCGTGTGCGTCTCACTCAAACGGCCGGATTTTGGAGTTCGGTAGTTGTCATCGCACCTTGATTAACCCACACTCCATCTCACTAAACTCCTTCAAGTACACCTTCAGTGGAGAACCGGACGCCCAGCGAACCTTTCCGGGCACCACCACTTCAAAGCGAGTGTTATGTTGAGTAAACACTCCAGGTTGGATGCTCTAAGTATTTTTGGGAGGAGGGAGGCAGACACCCATGCGTTCTCCACAGACACACCCCCATCCTAATCACACTTCTTGCGGGATTGGTTAAATCTCAGCAGCTTCTTGAGCGTGTCCCTCGATCTGCGTACCGAGGAGATTCCAAATGGCTACCAAAACGCTTTTGGAGCATTGATCTCTAGACGCGCTACTCGTTCTTTCTAAAAAAAATGTTTGAACGTTTCACAGACGAAACCCATTTGCGTCTCCTCCAAATTGCCTTTTATAAGCCTACTATTCCCAGTCGCTGCCTCACTAGTCAAGTTCTTTAATCAATTTCCGACATTATTAGGGAAACCTGACGATTTACAAGTCCACAGTATAATTGCAGGCATTTAGGAAAAACAGAAACCTGCGTCATTACTTGGTCAAAGCAACGATTACAACCATGCTGACCCGAAACATCCGGGTCACAGGGATTTTTTCGCAAAACTTGGTTGCCAGCAAAATACAACAACAATGTTCTATGAAACAGTTATCTTGGCAGCGCTACAATCTAAAACTGGCTGCTATAATACATTCATGTAAACGTAGTGCGACTACAGTACTGTGGGTGAAGACTGCGTAACACTATTTTTGATACGATTCACTCTCTCAACATAGATTACTTTTGAGAAGAAAAAACACACTTACTCCATAGTTTACTCACTTTCTGTCCATGGATGGCAAATCCGTTCAAGCAGCGGTCCTGGAGTCCAACTCGCAGATCAGTTCTGTTGCCCAGGGACGTGATGTGAGAGGCTATGGATAGCGCAGATTCGAAATGTTTTCCAGGGCTAGATGGGAATGAACATGCCTTGATAATGTGACACGGATGGCGGAAGGCATTTGATTCCTGCCCTGCTTCCGGTGACAGGATTCCAAACTTCTAACGCCTAAACCCATAATCTACCCTCACACCAGTACGCGAATGGTTTCGGACCCCGACCCCCCAATAAAGCAAAAATGCATGTTTCGGAATGGCCTTTTTTTGTGTCCGCCTATAGGCAACACCTGGCAATTAATCATGCTGTCTAATCAGCTCTTTGATATGGCGCTGTGAGGTGGGCATGGATTTCCTCGCAAAGGAGAGTGCTCACTATCACAGATTTTTCGACTTGTGAACAATTATTTGAGGAATGGTTTTTTGTGTATAAGAAAATGTTTTTCACATCTGCTTGGTTATCTCATGAAAAATTGGGAGCAAAAACGAAAAGTGTTGCGTGTATCTTTTTGTCGAGTGTCTTAAATATATATAACTCACGCTATACTCAACCTGAAATTAATTTTTATCAGTATTTTATGCTACTTAACATTCTGTTAGCTAAAAATACAGTCATACATATATTATAAATACATATTCTATATACATTTTTATATTTAGCAATAGCTCACGACAGGCCGTGGTATATGTCCTTATTCACATCTAAGGGGCGTCGTCGGCCCGACGCGAAGGGAAGATCGCGACCCCCTTCGTGTATCTAATGGCATATACACGCCTGAAGTGAGCTATTGCTCTTTATAAAACTGGTTACAGTGTCGCAATATGAAAGAAAAATACACACTCTAATTTAATCGTTTTTATTTAGTAAATATGATGTCAAATTTGAAAATGATCCTCCGTTGCCTTCTGCACAAAACATAGTGCGAGGTGGTTGCTATGCAACAACCCACTAACGCTAGTCGACATATTAGACAGGAGGCGTTGAGCTCGACTTATTTGGCGTATTTATTTACATTAATGTTGTATGTTGCTGTTAGCATGCTTACTTGTCAAGCTGTATAGGTCGAAGGTTGTCGAGGCTGTTGTTGGCGTGGAGAGAATATTTGCTCCCTTTTCTCCGGTCACCGAGGATTGGCTTCCAGTAGCTCTGGAGAGAGTCTTTTCGCACCTGTGGCACTAAGACGGTCATAATTTCTTCTTTGTTTCACCCCGCATCAGAAAAGCTTTTGAATGGTCGGTACTTTTTCCGTTGGTTCTACCTGCTCTTCCGGAGCTCTGCTAGTCGAGTTTAGGTGCTTTTTTTTCTGGAGATAGGCAAATGCTCCAACTCACTCTCCATAACTATGTAGCCCCCCCGGAGGTCGAGTTAATCTAAAGTGTTTCCATTTTATGCTTTGGAGTTGTTGTAACGGAAAGAATTTAATTTATTTATAAACTGACAACGTCAAATCAAGCAATCTGATTGGTCGATAGCGTTTTTTGATCCTCTTTGATACAGATTTGAAAACATCGTGCTTGCTTTAAAAGTACCACAATTCCGTTTATGTTAACTTCAAAAGTATCTAGATATCCCTCCGTAATGCAAAGAACTGCACACGGACTATAGTTTGCCGTTTGATGTTCTAGTCTGGACCGCTGCGTCAAAAGGAGGGCTTTGCCCGTTACTCTCGCTCTTTCTTGTTCAGTATGAAAGCACCCCAACGGTATACTGTTTTTCTCGATGCGGAGGGATACTGACTTGTTGTAAAAATAACTTAACCAATTACTAACCCGTGGTATGACGTGGGTATATCACGGCTAAGAACATCAACTTGTTGATTTGACTTGTCCGTTCTTATAAATATAATATTATAATACACAAGCTATACTCACCTGAGAACTATCATTTTTAACCATGTATTATAGGCTAATATTACCTTACTGTTTAGCTAACAATCATACCTTGTGCGTGACCACCTATTAACACAATTCCCACATGGAACTACAGTTGCGGGTATTGTTCCGCACGGACATGTATGTGGTTGTCTCTATTCTATGTGGCCTTCTGGTTGTTCTCTCTCTTCTTCCGGCCGAACCGGCAACATGTCCTTTTCTACTCTCTAGTAAAGTACCCTTTTGCACCTTCATTGCACGCCTCCAGACATCCCTATC